GGCGGCGCCGGCCCGTAGGCCGCCTGGGGCAGAGACGACAAGCGGGCCCCGCCGGCCGCTGCGCCCAGCCCGTCGGGGCGCTCCTGGAGGAAGGAGAAGGCGGCGCGTTAGACGAAACACCCTCGGCCCACAGCACCCCAGCCCCCAAAGGATCCGCCTGAACTCGCGAGGGTCCAGCTGCCGTCTATCAATCTCGCTTTGGGGGACCCCACACTGACTGTTACTGAATGACCGGCGGCGGGCGCGGGAGCCACGGGCTGGGGCTCGGCGGGCAGGACCCCCGTTCCCCCCGCGACGCCCATCCTCCGTCGGACGAGATCTCGTTGGCACCCGATCTGCTCCCCAACCCCATCCCCGCCAAGGGCGTCCCGGGAGCCGCGGGATCGGAGACCACTCACCATGGCAGAGTAAGTGTGCACCAGCATGGGGCCGGCAGTGCGGGGCGCGAGGCGCGGCGGCGGGGAGCCCTCGCTCGACGGCGAGCGCTGCGCGGGGTGGGGGGAGGCGGGAAGGACGCGGGAAACCCGCACAGCTCACGGGTTACCGCAGATGGACGTATCCCAGCCCGGATCCCCCGTAGACGTGAGGGTCTCAGCGACGGGCGCCCCGGGGCTGGTCCATGGAAGCGGAACGGACGGGCGCGGATGGGCACTTGGAAAAGTCGGCCAACGGGTGCCCAGCGCCCGCCCTCCTGGCTGTGAGCGCAGCCCGCTCCATGCACTCCAGTTATAGTGGCGAGGGCGCGCCGGGCCTCGGGGGCGCGCATTAAAGAGACAAGCTGTGGCCTTTCTCTGGCTTTCCCCCAGAGGGCCGCCCAAAGGGAGGCGTGGCTCTGATAGGGCCGGGTGGGATGAGTAGAGGGGCGTGAATTCGACCCTGGCTGATCTGAGCCAGACTGGTGGGCTGAAAGCCTGCTGCAGCTGTGAAACCAGAGAAGGTAGGGCTCAGGGCCGGAGAAGGGAGCTCCTTGTTTGCTGGACTCTGTCCTGTCCTTGCCTTGGAACAAAGTACTTCTTCTTTGAAATCAGCTTCTTCCTCTGCAAAATGGGATACACCAGCCCTTTCTCTAACCACCTCCCCGGGCTCGGATGAGATGGGCAATCATGAAATGTGGAAGACTTCTTCTGTGAGCTGCAAATTCAAAGCCATCATCAGTTCGTGAGCATACTTGTGTTAGTGTGCATTTACAATCTCCTAAATGGTTTTTGGATTAAAAAAAGAAAGAAAGAAAAATTATCTGATAATGGTAGTTCAGAGTCACCCGGGGCAAGAAAGTCTGTGAGACTCTTACTTCCCAATTAACCACCAATGAGCCTGAAAGAGAGCTGTGGATCAAGTGGTAGAGTGCTAAGCTTGAGTGAAAAAGCTAAGGACAATGTGTAGGCCCTGAGTTCAAGCCTCAGTACTGGAACAACAACAACAACAACAAAAAAAAAAACAAAACAAAAAAAGCCCTCTGAAGGATCCTACTTCACAATGATTTCCCAGATTGCTAACTCCCTATGTCAAAGCTAAGGTCTGAGGAAGTTGGTGACATATATTGCCTGGGCTGGGGTTTGGCATAGTGGTCTCCATCCAGGAAAGGGACAAGATATTTCTGAAGCCACAGGGACCTGGACTGATTTGAGTATGTGCGTGTGACCCTTAGAAGTTATTGGATGAATCTGTGTGTAAGTGACTCACGTGGATGGGGTGTGATTGTTACACTCACAATGCACGTGTTGTGTGTTTCTGTGTTATCATAGCAAGCACTGGCTCTCTGTCAAACTGTCTCAATCTCTACAATGAACCCTTCTTTTCTTCCCAAACTCACCCCTCCTCTCCTGAGAAACAGGTAGGGATTAAAGAAAGACAAATAAGAGGAATGCTAAGGAGAACGGGAATTAAGAAAGCAGGAGATGGGTACCTGTGGCTGGCTGCTGGTAGTCTGTAATCTTGCTACTCAGAAGGCTGAGATCTGAGGATCACAATCTACAATCCAAAGCCAGCTCAGGCAGAAAGGTCCATGAGTCTCTGAGTGAAAAGCTAAAGGACAGAACCCTGGGTTCATACCCCAGTACCAGCACACGCACACAAGCACACAAGCACACACACACACACACACACACACACACACACACAAGCAGAAGGAAGATATTTGAAAAAGAAAAAAAAAGACAACAGGGCTTAAACACAGGAAGCATTTATTACAGAATGTTAGCCTCTGTGCTATGAATATTGAGTTATCTGACCTTTGAGGTAGGTACCCATTATTTTTTTATCTTTTCTTGTTAGTGCTGGGGCTTGAACTCAGGGCTTGGCTCTGTCCCTGATCCTTTTCACTTAAGGCTAGCATTCTACCACTTTGAGTCACAGCTCCAGTTCCAGTTTTCTGGTACTTAATTGGAGATAAGAATCTCATGAACTGGGGCTGGGAAGGTGGCTTAGTGGTAGAGAGCTTGCCTTGCATGCATGAGGCCCTGGGTTTGATTCCTCAGCACCACATAAGAAGAAAAAAGCTGGAAGTGGTGCTGTGGCTCAAGTGGTAGAGTACTAGCCTTGAGCTGAAGAGCTGAGGAACAGCGCCCAGGCCCAGAGTTCAAGCCCCACGACCAGCCAAAAAAAAAAAAAGAATCTCATGAACTTTCCTGCCTGGGCTGGCTTTGAACCATGATCCTCAGATCTCAGTCTCCTGAATGGCTAGGATTACAGGCGTGAACCAATGATGCCCAACTAGATACCCATGTTCAAGTAAGAAACCAGGCACAGAGCTGAAATGATCTGCCTAAGGTCAAGCGTCTGGGTTAGTCTGTGTCCAGTCCCAATCTCTTCTGAGGATATTATACTGTTATGCCTTGGATTCAGGACTACAATTTAATCCTGTCTCTACAAGATGACATGACCCTGAGTGAGACCCTTTTCCTCTCTGATCTTGGTTTCTGCAACTTTCGAAACAAAGGAGAGTGTGGGGGTAGCCTACTTGTTTTCTTATATTTTATCTTAGGGATGTAGTAAATGAGGAGATAATGGTAACAATTTTGAAGTCGACTAGAAGAACAGAGGATATGACGGTGACACACTTACCCATGGAATATATGGTTCAGGTGAATATTCCAGATGTAGAGCTGAGGCCTGGTGGGAGACATGAGGGAAAGAAGAAGGCTAGTAGCCTGTGGTTCATTACTAGAACTTTCTAAGGCTGGTGGATAAAGCAGAATCAGATACCTCTGTATCTTTTCTACTCAGGACAGATTTGTGGTCTGGAATGGGTTTGTCTGTGTGTGTGTGTGTGTGTGCTCATACAGATGGGTGTGTGAATCTGTGGCAACAGACCACATCCTTTTACCCTCAACTTGAGCCACAGGATACCAGAAATCAAGCTCCCAATGGAGTGTGGTTGCCTCACATCTATAATCCTAGTTTAGAATTACATTAGGAGGCTTAGATTTGAGGATTGAGGTAGGAAGCCAGCCTTGACAGACAAATCTGAGAGATTCTTATCTCCAATAAAACAGCAAAAGGGCAGAACTGGAGATATGGTTTAAATGGTAGAGGGCAACCCCGAGCAGAAAGCTGAGTGAGAGCGTGAGACCCTGAGTTTAAGTTCCAGTATTGGTGTGTACATGTGCGTGCGCGTGCGCGCACACGCGCGCGCACACACAAATACACACACACACACAGAAAATAAATCAAACTCTCGGATAGATGGTAGTGCGTGGCATGCAAGTTACTGGGCCCTTTTGAGAGAAGTCCAGGAATAGTGAGAGTCCAGTTCTGGGAATCTCTCTACTAGCTTGGGTTTTTGTTTTTTTTTTTGGTCGGTCGTGGGGCTTGAACTCTGGGCCTGGGTGCTGTCCCTCAGCTCTTCAGCTCAAGGCAAGCGCTCTACCACTTGAGCTACAGCACCACTTCCGGTTTTCTGGTGGTTTATTGGAGATAAGAGTCTCACGGACTTTCCTGCCTGGGCTGGCTTTGAACCGCGATCCTCAGATCTCAGCCTCCTGAGTAGCTAGGATTACAGGCATGAGCCACCAGCGTTTGGCTTAGCTTGGGTTTCTTTACTCTGCTTCTCTGCAGTTTCAGATCCCCACTCTGTCTTATTCTCCACCTACACTCTTCCTTCCTTTCTTCCTTCCTTCCTTCCTTCCTTCCTCTCTCTTTCTCTCTGTCTCCTTTCTTTTCATTTCCATCCTAATGCAAGTTATTCCTTCTCAGAGGAGCAGCTTCCTTCTTCTTGTTAAAGTCAAACTGTATTATCTCCAGTCTGTAAATCTTCCTAGAGACCCTGTCATCTGGATGTTTCCTTGTAGCCATTTGAGTTTCCAAGTCAAAACTGGACTCAATGTCTCTTCCACCCTCATCCTCTTCTTTTGGTTCTATACTCCCATAAATGACACAATTATCCTTAATAGTTTGAAATTTGGGGCTGGGAATGTGGCTTAGTGGTAGAGTGCATGAAGCCCTGGGTTCAATTCCTTAGAACCATATAAATAGAAAAAGACAGAAGTGGCGCTATGGCTCAAATGGTAGAGTGCTAGCCTTGAGCCAAAGAAGTTTCAAGGACAGTACCCAGGCCCTGAGTTCAACCCCTAGGACTCCCCCCCCCAAAAAAAAAAAAAAGTTTGAAATTTGCAAACCTTTCTTCCCCACCCTTCCAGGCTTTGAACTCAGGGCAAGGCCTTGTACTTGTTTGGCTGGTACTCTACAATTTTAGCCATACCTTCAGCTAGCTATTTTGCTGATTTGCTTGGTAATGGAGTCTTGAAACTTCCCCAGCTGGCTTTGAATCACAATCTCATGGCCCCCCTGTGTGGCTAGAATTCCTCTCTGAGGGAAGGGATGGTATGGGGAAACAACGGAGGAGGCAACAGTGCTTGATAAGAAATGTACTCACTATCTTGCTCATGTAATTGTAACCCCTCTGTATGGTATTTTCACAATAATAAAAAAATAAAAAAAAAAAGAATTCCTCTCTGACTTCATAAATCACGAAGGATTCCTGAAGAAAAGAGAAACAGAAAAATGTATTTAGCAACACACTTGGTACATGGCATGTGGTCAGTGAATGACTACTAAATAAATGATAAGTGAGTGAATGGATAACTTCATGATTTCCTTATCCTATTAAGGGATTCTTGAGGAAGGCTGTTTGTGGTTATGACCCTGAGTAAGCTAGACATTGCTCCCAGGCATTATCTGAGATCATCTGACTTTGCTCATGTCTGTTGGGGACAGCACTCCCCATGGTTTGATGTTGCTTTGGGGCTCTCCCACATTGTCTCAAGTTTCAGACGTTGGGGTCTTTTTGTTCCAGGGACAAGGGATTCCTCACTCTCTGAGGCATGTGTGGAGACTTAGGATATTACAGGGATACTCACAGCGACACCTCTAGGAAATGAGGAGACATGACATGCAGAGGACATTATGTTCCGAGACACATGTGCTCATGGAAACACATTGGTGTGCATGCTCAAACATACATGGTCTCCTCCACGTGGCATACTTGGCACATTGCTCTTTTCCTAGGCTCATCTTTTTCCTCTCTCCTTCCAAAATTGGAGCTTGCATTCCTGCTTTAAGAAAAATTCAGACCTGTTTCCATCACGGACTAGGCTTGTCTGGAAATCTAGCACTAGGAGAGATGCTGAGGCTCCACCCTGTGGTTATAGCTCGCAATCACATCTCAGAGCTTCCTCCTTTCTCTCCTGGAGGAATCACTACAAGCAAGTGGAGCCCAGAGGCCTCTCCCCAGAGACCTCCCCACTCCGCAACCCAGAACTCTTTGACCATACTTCATGAAAGCACAGAACTCAGTCAGGATTGAGCTATCATTTCCCCCCCTCTTTGGCCTCTCTTACTGCATGCAGGAAAGCATCTTCAAAGCAGGGATGATGAGGCGTCTCTTGCTTCGGAGCCTTCCCTTCTTTCTATTTCTTGACATGATCTCTGTCATTCTTGTGGCTCTAAGGAACCTCTATCCTGGCAGCTCCCAAGTCTGTCACCCACTCAGACTTCTTTTGAAATTCCAGACTATAGAAATCAACTATCCCCTTTGGATGTTTCACAAAGGCACAAATTTACTGTTTGCCAAACTCAGCTCATACCTCTTAGAAACTGTTTCTCTCCCACTGTTCTCTAGGACAGTGAATTGCTCCATTTTCCACTCAGCGGCACTGAACATGAGTTTGGAGTCCTCCTTGGCTTTCCCTTCCCTCTTTCTTCTGTTTCTATCTCCCTGGCTATCTCTCCTTTTCTTCTTTTCTTGAATAGATTTTCAATTTTGAGAGCCCAAGATGGTCCCAAACTTGCCATCCACCTGCCTTCAACCTTCTAAGGGCTGTGATTACAAGGTATGTTTCACCTTGCCTGGCTACAGTTCTCCCTCTTGAAGTAATTAACTTTCTAAAATTTGATTTAACTGCTCAGAAATCTGCATTCTTGGTCCTCAGCATGATTTCTTAATGCTTCTGAGCACTGTACACTCAGACTGGTACAATCTGGTGCTACCTCATCTCCCACCACCTCAATGTGGCAACAATAAACTGTTCATGCCTTTACATCTACCAGTCCTCTAATTGTCTGCCTGGCAAGCCTCTCTCAATCCTTATCTCAGAGCAAATACTTACCTTGAGGTTTCCTAGACTTGTTTAGTGAGGCTAAGGAGTTTTGTGCTCCATTTGTTCAGACACCCATAGAAGGCACTATTTACACCTTCACTTGCTTTATCTGTCTCCCTCTAGATTTTAAGCTGCTTGGGTGAAGGATGTATCTTTTCATGTTTGCCAGAGAACCTATGCCCAAGTGACTTTTCCATTGATGCAGTCAACTAAGTGAACGTTCTTGCTATGCATAGCTAACCACAGGTAGGCAACAGAATATGCTCAGAAAATGCTGGTTTGAAGGTTTAAGTCAGAGTCTGAAGATGGTGTGGGCCTGGTGCTGGTCTGACTCCAACCTTGTGAGGAAGTGCTTGGCTTGTTTCCTGTTGAACACAGGTTAACAGCTGGGAGCATGAAAACCACATTTGGTCTGCATATTGTTACACTAGTCGTATTTAGACTGAAAAAGCAAAGTTATCCATATTCAAATATTGGACTTCACATAAAGATTAGGATTTATTTTTGGTGTCAGTACTTGGGCTTGAACTCAAGGCCTGGGCATTGTCCCTTAGACTTTTTTTTAATTCAAGGCTGGCACTCTACCACTTGAGCCATCAAGTCTTTGGTGGTTAATTGGAGATGAGTCCCTGAACTATTTGCTTTAGCTGGCTTCAAACTGCAATCTTCAGATCTCAGCCTTCTGAATAGCTAGGGTTACAGAGTGACCCACTGGTGCCCAGCAAGGATTTCTTTCTTTTCTAAAAATCGGAGGTTCTCTTGGCAACGAGGAGGGAGGGGACAGTGCTTCATTTGTCCAAGAGCCTCCAACAAGCCTAGCCATATAATCTGGGTTTGTGAACCTGCTGTGACAGGTTAGGGGCTTGAGGGCCTGTGTAAATGAATGCCTGGCCCTGGCTTGAGTAGTGAACAAATCAGTTATCAGTGCCTAAGAGCCACTATCAGTAACAATGAGATCATGGTCTCTTCTTTCTGGGACTCTTGGGAAGGGCCAAATGAGGTACCACTTGGGAAATGGTTAGCAGAACACATTCAGCAACCAGTTGTGAACTGAGTCTGACGGAGGGAGAACAGGCAACCGAAGGACCACGTAGGAAGGCTCTTGTCATCCATGAACATTTATTGAGTGTTCACATGTGCACAGCTTTGAACTTGGTGATCACAGAACGCACCGGCGGGGGTGGTCGGGTGGGGAAAAGTAAAGGATCAGGTATGGGGGGGGACATCCCCCACCCCGGGTTCATAATAAAGACATTCCCTGCTGGAGCCGCCAGTCGCGTCTCTGCAGAGAGGAGTCATAGGAGGGGTGGGAGCTGAAGCCAGGCACCACGTTGGCAATAGGGTGCAATCACTGGGGAAACATGCAGACTCTGGGGAGATGTCCCTCCTGTTCCTGGCTCCAGCCAGACCAAATGGCACCAGGGGGGACAGGGATCAGATGCTCAGGAATCCAAGCAGGGGATAAGGACAAGCAAAATAAATAACCCCCAACCCCCATCGTCGCTCTGCTGCAACATGACACAAAAGCTTGAGACCCGGGCCCAAGGACTCTTGGATCCCTTCAAGGAAGCTCAGGTAGAAGGAGGTTACCCACCCCCCCACTGGCCTGTCTGCCCCAGGTTGCCCTGGAAGGCAGGTCAGACCCTGCGTCACTGAAGTTGGAAGGAAGAAACTGCTATGTATGGCCTGAGCCTGCTCTCTGCCCAAAGGCAAGAGACAAATGGCCAATTTAAAGGGCGTGGACCTGGGGAGCCAGAAGGGGCACCGCAGCTTAGGGGAGGCCACGCCCTGGCCGGCAGGGCACTTGGGCTAAGCCAGTCAGCTCCTGCCAGCCCTGGCCTACCCTGGGACCTCCCTCCTGTGAGAAGCCAGACATTGAGCACAATGATACCTAGTGCCCCCTCCCTGGGGGCTGCTCCAACCTTCCCCGGCCTGGCGGGGACAACCTCATCGTTTCCAAGCCGATTCCTGCCCCCATGGGGGCCCAGGGGGCGGGACGCAGCTCCTTACACCTGAGGGGTGGGCACCATGCCCTTTGCCCTCCGAAAAGCCAGAAAGCTGGGGTGTTTGGGGGGGAAAGTCTGGGGAGGGGGGTCCAGTTGGGGGCTTCAGGGAAGATGCCTCCTCCCTCCTTCCCTCGCTACCCGCCCCCGGGTCTGTCCCCAGTCGATGCCCCTCAGGGCTCTGACAGACACTGCTCCAAGGCAGCCATGCGGTAGTGGCTGGCTGTCTCCTCGCCTGCCTGCAGCCTCATGGCTTCCCGGCACAGCCGGTTGGCCCGTGCCAACTCCACTAGGACGCCCTGATAAGCGGCCACCATCTCAGGCTTGACAGAGTTGGGGCTGACACTGCCTAGCAGCTGGAGCAGCTCCTGTGGCCAGCGGGAACGCAGAGCAGCAGGGGCCAGCCAGGGCAGCAGGGGCACGCAGCCTGTGAAGGCTTGCATGCCAAGGAACCAGAGCTCCTGCAGGTCAGCCCAGATGCCCTCATAGTCAGGGGACAGGGCCAACACAGCCTGGTCTGAGCCAGGTGTGGCCCGAGCCACATGGGACTGGGACAGGAAGAGGATGGCAGCTGCAAAAAAACCTCGGGATGCTGGGGTTCCTTGAAGAGCTGGAAGGCAAGAAAAGAGTGCATGAGACGGACGGATCAGTGCTGCGCCCGCCCCTCACCATCCATCCTATGGACACTGTAGGAGTGGAGGCAAGGGCCTAGAATCAAGACTGCTGGGGTCAAACTCTACCTCTGACACTTAAAACTAGATGGTTTGGGGCAGCTAATTTTTCTGGGGCTGTTAGCACAGATATCAGTCTTCGAATTTTGTCCTGAGCATGAAATGTGATCTTAGCAAAACTCCATCACCAAGACTTCCATAGGCACAGGAGGTGGAGATAAGACTCCAAACCTCCCTCAGATTCTCTATTTGACTCCTATGCCAGAAGGGGGCGCCAGAGGTCAGGGTGGGGGGCGGAGGGGGAGGAGGTAAGCAGCGACCAGCTTTTGGGTGCCTTCTTTTAAAAGGGGCTCAAGATCCCTCCCCACCCCTTGCAGGTGTCCCCTAGGAGGCTGCTCACCTAGTGTGGTGACATTTGTGGGTCAGCCAATGTGGGGGTCAGGACAGATTGGTTCTGTGTGGGGGCAGGCTGAGCACAGGGGGCTCTGGATCCACAAAGACATGCTCCCCTTCCCACTGCTGGGTACCCTGCTGGGATCCCCCACTCAAAGCACAGAGGCAGCTGAGGGTATGGGCACATTACACCCTGTTCCTGGGCATCTGCTCAGCTCCTCCAACCTGACAGATGGGGCACAGGGAACAGGCGGGGACAGAGGGACCCAAGCAGACACCCACGGCCAAAGTGGGAGACACTGAGGGCTGCCAGGGCCTGGAGGGGATGCCCTTCCCCCTGCACACAGTGGGCAGTGCTGACGCTTTTACTGAGGCGGGTGAGGTGCTGAGCAGTGGAAAACCTCAATGGAGGGAAGTTAGGTTTCTGACTCAAGGCCCAGGTGGGGGCGGCTCTACCTTAAAAACACTGGATTCAGAGTCCCTTGGCTGCTGGGCCTCCAGGTGCCTGTGCCTCTGAGCAGGCCTGTACCTCACACCCACCCGACCTTGCCTTAAAAGTCTTCAGAAGGAAGAGAACGTTACCACTGGGAAGCAGGATGGGGGTGGCAAGTGGAGTTCATACTGTAGTGATTTCTCTTCTATGGGAAAATTTTGCAAAAAAAAAATTACCGCCCCCCCCCTCCGAAAATGGAGACAATTCTTTGGATACAGCAGATCTACCCAGGTCTTACCTGGAGAAGTGCTAAGGAGCCGGGCCATGAGGAGGCCCAGGGTGGCCACGTTGGCAGCCAGCAGCAGCCGCCCTTGTTGCTGCACTAGTGCAGGCAGCGACGTCATTAGGGTGTTCATGAGAGATGTGAAGCAGGCATCACGTCTGGGGAAAGAGGCAGGGGGGAAAGGGGCAGGCAGGGGGTTAGTAAGCCACATGGAGCCCTTTGGAAAACCTGAGATCTAGGGCTTCTGGGTTCACCAGCTCAGGGTCGGGCAGTAAATTAGGCAGCAGGGTGAAGAGTTAACTGTAAGCTTCAACCATGGTAGATGGCTTGGACTAGATGCCATCTAGCAGAGGCTGGGTTATATATAGCTCGAACAGAATCATGTGCCCTGGGTCAACCCTGAGGGTCTAGATATGCCAAATCCTTAGGTAGGACTGTTATTCCTTTTTTGTTTTTCTTCTCTCAGTGTTAAGGATTGATCCCAGGGTCTTGTGCATGCTAGGCAAGCACTCTACCACTTAAGCCTCAACCTCAGTCCCCTCCCAATTTTTTTTGTTTGTCATGGGGCTTGAACTCTATGCATGGGCGCTGTCCTTCAGCTCTTCAGCTCAAGGTGAATGCTCTAACACTTGAGCCACAGCACCACTTCTAGTTTTCTGAGTGGTTTATTGGAGATAAGAGTCTCATGGACTTTCCTGCCAGGGCTGGCTTTGAACCAAAATCCTCAGATCTCAGCCTCCTGAATAGCTAGGATTACAGGTGTGAGCCACTGGTGCCTAGCCAACCATAGCCCTTTGGTGTGTGGCTTTTGGAATTTTTTTTTCCCCTCTAACTTTGTCAGAACTGGCCTTGAACTTGTGATCCTCCTTGCCTCTGCCTCCCAAGTGGCTAGAACTATGGACACGCACCACTATGCCCAGCTTTGTCTTTGTCTATTCTGAGTCCTTTTCATTCTAATACTAAAAGAAATCTACAGACACAGTGAAGCAAAGTAGGAGGTTGAGATGGGAGGTGGATGGGCAGCCCCCTTTGCTTCCTTAGATCTCCTCCCAGTGTCTCCCAAGGCCCTCACTTGATCAGCCCTGGTGCAGTGACCACGAGGTTGAGAAAGATGTGGCAGCAGGTTTGCAGACCAATCTCCACACTGTCAGGCAGAACTGAGGTGTCATGGCCGGGGGATGTGAGCTCCCACTGTTGCAGGAAGTATTTGCACAGAAGGGAGGGGGCCCCTTCCTTGATCAGGATCTCTCGGGGCCCATCTTCGACTGTCAGGTGGCACCAGCCAGGCAGAAGGAGCCTAGAAGTGTGGAAAAGACAGACATGTGTGGGGTTAAGAGACAGAGGTACAAAGATGTTATTTCTTTCACAGCACCCTTCCTAAGAAAAGCAGGAGTAGGAGAGAAGAAGGATGCTTCACAGGCGTCAGAATCACACAGGCCCAGGAACCAACTGGGGTTCTGCCAGGACAAGTATTCTAACCTCTGTGAGCTTCATTTCCTCACCTTTAAGATATCGATGAGACTTTTTTTTTGTCAGTCGTGGGGCTTGAACTCTAGGCTTGGGCGCTGTCCTTGTGCTCTTCAGCTCAAGGCGAGCGCTCTACCGCTTGAGCCACAGCACCACTTCCTGGATGAGACTTTTGTTGTGTAGAATAAATGAAATTTTTATGGTGAAGGGTATACCTGCTGTATAACAGATGCTTAGTAAACACAGCTACCTTTTTTTATTGGGAAATCTGATGACAAGTGACATATGCCAGCTCAGGAGTCCTGTGGGAACAAGCACCTGAAATACGTAGAAATGATCCCAAGGGAGGAGCTCTTATAATGGCCTCATTAAGAACAGCCCAGTTTGGGAGAGATAGGGTATGCCTCTATGGTTCTTTTCTTTTTTGGTCACTCATGGGGCTTGAACTCTGGGCCTGGGCACTGTCCCTGAGCTCTTCAGCTCAAGGCAAGTGCTCTACCACTTCAGCCACAGCGATACTTCCAGTTTTCTGGTGGTTAATTGAAGGTAAGAGTCTCACAGACTTTCCTGCCCGGGCTAGCTTTGAACTGTGATCCTTAGATCTCAGCAACTAAGTAGCGTGGATTACAGACATGAGCCACTAGTGCCTGGTTCTGTTCTTTTCTTTAGAAGACTCTGGCTGGATAGATTGTAACTAAACTCACCGGAGAGCATCCCCTGGCCAGGTGGGCCCTGGGGTGGTGGGGGAGATGGCCAAGTTGGCCACCTGCTGCGAAAGGTCATTGGCTTCCTCGGCTTCCTCGTAGAGGGTCTTGGCATAGCGGACAAGGAAGGGCAGAAGCTGGCACACCTCCTTACGCAGGGACGAGGTCTCCTCCGCCAGCCAGGCACCCAGGATCCGCACCGAGGCAAACACAAAGGGCTCCTTCTGCTTCTCCGGCCCCACCTGTTGCCACAGGACCCCACTGAGATGGAGCAGTATGAGATACCCTCTTAAGTCTCCCCAGCTTAATGCCAATCTAGGAATAACATTCCTAGAAGGGAATTTTGGCCTGTGAGTTCTTTTTTTTTTTTTTTGGGTCCGGTCGTGGGGCCTGAACTCTGGGTGGGCCTGGGCGCTGTCCCTCAGCTCTTCAGCTCAAGGCTAGTGCTCTACCACTTGAGCCACAGCGCCACTTCCGGCTTTTTTCTTTTTGCTTATGTGGTGCTGAGGAATTGAACCCAGGGCCTCAGGCATGCAAGGCAAGCGCTCTACCACTGAGCCAACTTCCCAGCCCGGCCTGTGAGTTCTTTAGAAGTGGATACCAAGACTTCTAGCACGTACGAGGGACACACTCCACAAGAGCCAGGCACTGCACAGACCCTCATGGTAAGTCTACTGGATCTCAGCTATCACGACCCACACTCACTGAGACTTAAGTTATATGATCCCACTTTCCACCTCTAAGAGAGCTGAAACATACAGATCTACAGCTAAGCAGCACTCTATAGAGGCTGTGATCTGGGATAGGAAGACACATCCTGCCATGTAAATGCCCCTCAGCAGTGGGAAGCGGAATGCCTTCTTTGGGGCTGTACAGAAAATGAGACCAGAGTTTTAACATGGATGGTCATACTCATTCAGGGGCTAGAGCGGGGCCATTAAAGAGACCAGAATCATGCATGAATCCCGGTGGGACAAGAGAGTGAGCCTCTCAGAGAAGGAAGAGGAGACTGGAGGAGTGGGAAGGGGGAGGGAAGGAGGGATGAGACGAATAAGAGTTATGTAAAACACTACAGAAACTAGGAACCCGGAGGTCCTGCTTTTTCCTGAGCTCTTCAAGTCTGTATGTGTGTCTGTGTCAAACACGAGTATGGAGTGAGCAGAACAGGCTACTTTGGTTTTGTGTGGTGTGTTGTGTAGTATGTGTACTGGAGAGTGTTTTATGAGTGGGAGAATACTGTGTTGTGTGTGTGTGTGTGCTGTGATGGGCGTGCACATATGGTGTGTGGTATGGTGCCTGTGTGGAGGCCCACGAGAAGGAGAGGGAGGGAGACTCGGCCACACACTACTCCCAGAGTGCTTGACTGCATGTTCACGCAGCTCTGCCGCCTCCCCATCCCACCCCTTCCCTTGCCTTCTGGCTCCAGCACTGTCTCCCCACCCCCACTGGACTCCCTTCGTGGGTTAACGTATTGTATCCTTACCTGCAGCAGGTAGTGTATGACAGCTCCAATAGCCTCCTTCATGATGCTCACGAGCTGCACCTTCTGTGGCTCCTTAAGCAGGGACTGCTCACAGCGCGTGCATTCCTGGATTCCCAACTCCATGAGGGCATAGCAGGCTGTCACCACATCCTCTTTCACCTCTGTGCCTGTCTCCTCCAGAGCCAGCCGGACCTCTACGCATGCCAGATTCACCAGTAGAGCAAGAAACTTGCTCCCAGAGCTGCCCACTGGGATCCAGTCGGAGCCGCAGGCGTGCGCCAGGCGGGCTGCCAGCTTCAGTGCAGGGTTGCGCTGCCAGGAGCTCAGCTTGCTTCCCAGGATGCGTGCCAGCCCGGCCTGCAGATCCCGGAGGCATTCGGAGGGCACGGTTGTTGGGGGCAGAAAAAGGGGCAGCAGCTGGCAGAGCTCGAACTTGCTGGCATCCTCGGCTTTCTGGAAATCCTCACTGAGGCCCCGCAATACTGCCAGCAAGTCAGGCTCCGCCTCCTTCCAGCACTGTGTCTCAGCAGCAGCCAGGAGCCCCACGAGGAGTGCCAGGGCCTGGTCAAAGCCATAGCCATGCCCCAGGTATGCCTGACACAGGGCAGACACTGTGCCACCGGCAATGAGGTGCCGGGGCCCTCGAGGCGTGCCTGCTACAGCTGTTAGGCACTGGTAGGTATCATCGATCATGGAGCGGCGGGCAGCGTCATCGGGGTCTCCCCGGGCTGTGAGGAAGGTGCTAAGGATAGGGATCTTGTTCAGGACCTGGGGATGGGTGGCTAGTTCAGGGTCACTGCAGAAACAAGCCAGCAGGGCCACGCCCAGGGCCCGGAGAACGTGGTCGGGGCACCCATCCGGTGCCTCCTTGCTGGTCAGGAGACGGTTGGGGAAGGTGAAGCCAACGGCATCAAAGATCCGCCGCCGAGTTTTGGCATCAATGTCACCTGCTTTGACTGCCTTGGTCACCTGTAGGGGGTATGTGCCATCAGCAGGATGAAAGGAAGAGGCGGCAAGGACTATCCCTTTCCTTGTACCCTAGGCATTAAGCACCAGCAGGAATGGGTTATGCAACAGGACTCACTCTGGGGTCATTTCAGCCAGCTTTTTCTTTCTCCTTAGACAAAGACAGGTGTGATCTCTGGGGTCCTTCTCATCTAGGATAATCCCATGGAAGGGGCATCCAGGCCTATGCAACCTCTCATTTGGGCTGCAACCTGGCCATTTTGAGAAATTCTTCCTGATGTCTAATCTAGATGCCTACCACCTGGGTTAGAAGGGGCTTGGAACTCAGTGTTTAAAATCTCTCAAGGATTTAGGGTCCTTTCCTAAATGCTTGTCTCCATAGAAGACTCTGATCCATTTCCGCCACCTTCTCAGGGGAAATGGCTCCTATGTCTTGCCACTTTGCGTGTCAAAACATTTCCCCTTACATTTCACCTAAACACCTCCTCTGCTGCAGTGTGAGCCCTTGACTCCAGAGCCTTCTCCCTGTTGCCATGGCAAACAAGCGGCGGCTGTACTCCCTCCTCCCTTCACCCCCCACACACAACACCCCCCCCCCTTCCTAGCACTGCAGTTCCTGCTCTTCTGTCCCCAGCCAGGGTTCCTTTAACAAAGCTAAGACCTGAACCAGCTCCCTTACCTTCAATCTACCTACTGCCACCCTGGCCATCCTCTATGACCCCCTCCCCAGTCACTTCTAATGCTGCTACTCTCTTGGGTCCCAGAAAAACCATCCCCAGCCCTTAAGTACTCTGCACTAGTTACTACCTGCTGCTGTTATCCTATGAGTCAGCTCCCATCTGCTCTGGGACGCCCCAGAAAGCAAACCCTGGCAACCTCCTCCAAGGCCTCAGTGCCATGGCCTTAAGCACCCCTTTGCCTCTGTTCTTGGGGAGCAATAAGAGAGTATAAAGGCCTTCTATGGTGCCTCTAGGGTTTCCAGCACTACCTACATATCTTTGGGGAGTTGCTGACCCCATTTCTTAGGTGAGTGACCACCAAAGCCCTCCCACCTCCCAAGCATCGGCAAGTTCCTTACTAGCAGCAGGGCTGCAAACTGCTCGCTGTCATTCTTGGCCTCACGGAGGGCTCCCAGGTAGCGCTCCAGGGTGGGGTTTCGGCTCTCTGCCTGGTTCAGAGCTGGCTCGCAATCCGAGGCCATGATGCCCGCCTTGCCCAACTGTGAACACAAGAGGGACTGAGCATCCCTCTGCAGAGGAGGGGCGGGGGCGAGGGCGGGGGTGGAAGTGGAGGATGGAGGGAGGGATTAGCACAGAGGGAGGAGGGAACATTTGGAAGGGTGTCTTCCTCAGGACTGACCTCCCTTGGGGGAGCCCCTTTAAAAGGCTGGACCTGTGAATCCTTTGGGATGAAGAAGGGACCCTGCTCCAAGGTCACCTCCAGAAAGTGGGAAGGGAGGACCATGCATCCTGATGCTCAGCTGGACAGCTCTCACCAATCTCCTGGGGGAGGGAGGGGGTTATCTCCACTGCTCAGCAGCCCGTGGCACCAGAAACCAGTTTTTCTCTCTCCAGGAGGCACACAGGGAATGAATGAGTAGTAAGGACAGACAGAGAGGAATGGAGACATACATGGGTGAAGTTCGATTATCCGGACTCAGGTTGACAAGGAAGAAAAAGGGCATCATTTCAGCTTCCTTTCACCCCTCTTCTTCAGAGGAGGCAGGAGATAAGCTTGACCAGAAGTGAATATAATCTCACAAGGGAAGGCTTGCAGACTTCTATGGGGACCCCACCCCTCCAGCCAGGGCTCTCAGTTACCCCCACCAGCTCCTAGCTTTCTCTCCTTTCCTTCTCTTGGGCAAGGGCTGCAGGAGGACCAGCATCTGGAGCAGCAGCAGAATTAACCCCTTGTGCTCCCTCCCGGTCTTCGCCCACCGCGTCCCGCTACAGGCTGGGGCTGGAGAAGCAAGAGGGGTCAGAGAGTCACGGGACAACAGGGAATCCAAAAGCCGGATAATCGAAGTAGGGCTGCTGAGATGGGGAGATGAGAAAGGGAAGAGGGTCCCGGCGGTCACCACCTGTCCCGCCGCAGCCAGGTCACAACACGACATTGATGAAGTCACGACAGGGCAGCGATGAGATCACACTTCACGATGGCGCGGTGATGTCACGGAGAGATCACAGCGAAATCACGACATGAAGAGGAACAGCCCCCAAAGATGACAGGGCAAATTAAAAAAAAATAAAGATATATATTGAAAAGGGGTTGTAACAAAATGGAGTCTCGACAGGGCACGGTGATGTCGCGATATGGCTCGATGGAGTCGCGATAGGGTCCCCCGGGAAAGTCGGCACCGATCAGCGGCGGCTCCAAGAGGCCCGGGCTGGGATGCAGGGGAGGACCTGTAGGGGGGCTGAGCTCACCAGGCTGCGGCCCCGAGCGGCGAAGTCTTCTCCGGGCGCGATGCTGTGGGAGCCTGGGGCCGCTGCTCACGCCGCGTTGCCCACTCCGGGCTCCGGGCTAGTGCAGCTCCACCCCCACCCCCGCATTACTCTCGACCAATCAGCGGCAGCTTCACTCCTAGCTGTAGCCAATGGCACGGCAGGGCGCTAAACCGTAGGGGGTTGGCGCTGTTGCCGCCATCTTTCTTGTGGGTATTGCCCGAACGTGGGGCTGGGGAGTCTTGTGAAAGAGGCAAGGTGCAGACTGCCCTTGGAGGCGGGAGGCGAGAAGCCGGCGGGGTGCAGACACCCTCGTTGGGTGTAGTGTTCTACCCTCAGCATTGCCCCTCCTCCCCCACGGGCTCGCGGCTGGAATTGCGCTTCCGGAGAGTGGTGGGCGGGAGTGTTTGATTGGCAGGGAGAATGTGCTTCCGGGTTGAGCCCTGGGTGGTGGGAGGAGGCGGCGCTTCCGGCCGCCGTCGCTGTCCAGGGAGGCTGAGGCAAGAGGGAGCTGTCCCGGTTGGAGCCGGCGCTACCTTCTTCCTCTTCCTCCTCCTCTGCGTGAGGGTAGAGAAAGTCGGGGCCCCCTAGCCCATGGACCGGGAGGAGGCGGAGGCCGCCGAGAGCCGGGGCCCAGCTATATGGCCCTGAGCCCCGGTAGGTGGCCGGGACGGCTGGCTGCCAGGCCGAGTACCAGGAGCTCAGGGGAGGGGCCGGCGGGACGGGCGATGCCCGGGGTGTGGGGACTCGGCCGGGGCAGGCAGCTGCTTCTGGCCTTGCAGGTGCGGAGCTAGAGTTCCAGGTCGAACCCCGCTTCTTTTGAGTCCGGGTCTGGTCTTCCAGCTTCCTGGCATACTGGGGCCCAGCCTGTCCGTCTGCAAGGACTGCTGCTGTCCTTTTGATACCCTCGACCTCATCTCTTACAGCCTCGTCTTGAGTTGCTGTCTCTGATATTTGATCTCCCCATGCCGAATAAGGGGGGCGGGTTTTGGGCGCGATGTGTAAATTAGGATTCAAAACCTGCCTCATGCAGGATTTTGAAAATTATGCTCCAGAGGGTCCTGCTGTGGCTGCAGTGAGCACCACAAAGATGAAGTGGAGAAAGTCAAAGTAGAAGATAGAAAAGTAATAGCAAACCCAGACGGGGGTTTCAGGAATGCTTTGCCTTCTCTTACCTCATGGTGGTTGTGCCCAACTGACAATGGATGTTGTCAGTGAAGAGCATTAGCTGACTCTCCTGGTGCTTTCATGTGATTAACAGACTGGAAACTAGGAACAAGTTGGAAAGACGACCTCCCAGAACAATCTGTTCATTTTTCCAGCTATTTGGAAAACAGTGTCTGCAAATATAAGCAAAAGCTATTCATGGCAGTCTGTTCTGTAACTTTCCCAAATATAAGACTTTTTTTTCTCTTTAAAGCTTTCTTCTTGATTACTCACACCCGATGAATAGGCTGTTTCAGACGTGCTTTGTCGTTACTCAAACATATCTTATCGCTGTGTACATAAATGGAGTTCCACGTATGTAGCTGACAGACTGAACTATGATACATCCCCCATCAACCTGAAGTATTAAGTAAACATTACCCCCTGCTCTGTCTGAACAGCTGCTGCAACAGAAAGTGCTTTTATTTCGGGTGTACTTGTAACGCCCTAAATGCCAGAATTATTGGGAGCTTTTCTAGATTTTCATTTGTCAAGTATTGTGGGGGTGTGTGTTCTCTCCCTGGGTTGTTACCCTTTGATTCAATAACAGACTATTTGGATCTTGGTGATGTGGTGGTGTTCTTGCCTCTGGTCAGCAAGCCTTTAACTGGATCCTAGCAGTGATTTGTGCCACTAGGCAATTGTAGGTTTCAGCAGAATGACTGGCTGGGAGTTAAATGAAATTAGCTTTGCCTCTCTTGTGCACGGTTTGTGAGACATTGCACTTCTAATCAGCTTGCTATTCCAATGGTGTTTATTACTCCTGTTTTCAAAGCCTATTCATTTCTTTCTTGCTTTTTCCGCCTACCTGCCAGGATATTGATGACAGGTGTTGAGTCACCTTGAGGTTTAAATCCTTTTGGGGTAGGCAGAAATATGTTGGGTAAGTTCTAAGTGTGCACATGGGTGTATGACACACACATTCCATCTTGAGAATTTAGAGAAGTTTCTGTGATTTCCTTCCTTCCTTCTTTCCTGCAAGGATTTATTCATAATCTTTTGAACATGTCTCTGGCTCACATACTTCCTTTCTGTCCTTTGCTTTATAACATGTATTTTAAAAACAACAATAACTAGAAATAGGAAGAGCTGGAAAGAAATGAGAGAGATGAAGTCTCCCTGGTGCCAGTGGCTCAGTGAAAGCCTTTTCTTATATCACCTGCCTCAGTTTTTCAGTGGTGTGCTCATTTCCTGGCATTAGCCCTGAAATCCACTTCATGCGATGCTGATTTTTCTGTAGACTGGTAGTGGATAAGAGGTAAGGGCTCTCATTTTCCAGATGTTAGTGACATGTTTAGGACAAATGATTATCGTTCCGAGATGGGCTCTCATGTTGCTCAGACTGGCCTTGAACTCTTGGGCTCAAGCAAACTTACCTCAACCTCCACATAGCTGGGACTACAGCTGAGATTCACCATTCCCCACCAACAGATTTTTAAAACTGATCTTCAGAACTCTGTGCGTCTTCATAATGTCAAAATTTATGATATAAGCCAGGAGCTGGTGGCTCACACCTGTAATCCTAGCTATTTAGGAGGCTGAGATCTGAGAATTGTGGTTCAAATCCAGCCTGGGCAGGAAAGTGTAAGACTCATCTCCAACTAACCACCAGAAAACTGGAAGTGGTACTGTGGCTCAAGTGATAGAGCACTAGCCCTGAGCTAAAGAGCTCAGGGACAGCGCACAGGCCCAGAGTTCAAGCCCCACAACCAAATATATATATATTTATATATGTATATATGTGTTTATCATATATATGATACATGACATATATACATTATATATATATATATATATATATATATAATATGATATATACAATATAGCAGAGTTGTACAAGAAGAAAGAGACTTTTTGAAAATCTGTTTTGTTTTCTTCTTCTGGAGATGACCTAAATAATATAGTGACTAGATTCTAGAGTAGCTAGTACAGTGTTTGACATACATATTTGCTGAACGTGTACATGAGTTTAAGGTAGGAATTCCAAGTGAAGCTTAGGTATTGGAGATAACGGAAGTGTATGTTGGATAGAGTTTAAAGATGGTGTTGAAAATATTTCAGCAACAGTGGGCCAGACAACACCCTTAGGTTAGGTTAGTTAGAACAAGTCCAACTTCTTTTCAGTGTGTTTGGTCAAAGTCATAAAGCTGTTTGTATAACTAGGACTGGAAAGTCAAAAGCTTTTTTTTTTTTTTTTTCCAGGCCGAGAGTCGTCGTTGTTATTATTTTGGCCTGAGACCTGTACTCAGACTCTGTACCTGACATTTTAGGCCTCACTCTACCAACTGAGCTACTCCTCCAACCCTAGGGCTGATAGCTTTTCCATTCTGTTACATAGACAATTTACTGTTAGATTAGACACTAATGAAGCATAAGATACTTCACTTTTGCAGTGGGTTCATTTAAAATCCCTTGCTGTGTTGCCACACTGATAATTATAGGCTATGTCAAAGATCAGGTTTAGAATTTACTGGCAGGAATGAGCAATGAAAGACAATCTGGAAATATTTCTTTCTCCTAATCTGTCACATTCTCTGAGTCCACATTTCCAGGAATCAATTATTAATTACTTGGCATATAATTCTTCTCTTTCTATTTTTCTAGTGTGCTGGTTCTGCCTGTCTGGAAGGCCATGGAGAAGAAGCTGGGAGTCAAGCCAAGTCTTGCTTCCTGGATTTTATCAGGATATTGTTGGCAGACATCTGTGAAGTGGTTGAGAAGCCTGTACCTGCTTTATACTTGCTTCTGTTTCAGTGCTCTGTGGTTGTCAACAGGTACTATTTTCTTGATAGATATAAAATTTAACAAGGGCACTCTGACTGGGTACAGGTGGCTCATACCTATAATCTAGCTACTCAGGAGGCTGAGATCTGAGGATCAAGGTTCAAAGCCAGCTGGGCATGAAAGTCCATGAGACTCTAATCTCCAATTAACTACCAAAAAATCCAGAAATGGATCTGTAGTTCAAGTGGTAGAACACTAGCCTTGAGCAAAAAGCCCAGAGATAACACCCAGTCCCTGAGTTCAAGTACCAGGAATGTCACCAAAAAAAAAAAAAAGAGGGGGGGGGCATGTCAGAAACGAGCTTTACAACGTCGGGCCGTGGAAAAGGGAAGGGGGGGGGGGGGAGGAGCTCGTGGAATCTGTGAATCCCTCTATTCATTTTGAAGACTACTGGGTGGCAGAAACTATCAAACTGTCATCCTTGGACTGGGAAGGTGGCTCAGTGGTAGAGTGCTTGCCTTGCATGGATGAGGACCTGGGTTCGATTCCTCAGTACCACATACACAGAAAAAACTGGGAGTGGCGCTGTGGCTCTAGTGGTAGAGTGCTAGCCTTGAGCAGAAGACTCTCAGGGACAGAGCCTAGGCCCTGAGTTCAAGCCCCAGGACTGGCCAAAAAAAACCCCCAAAAACTGTCATCCTTTTGGTTTGTTGGGTTTATTCTGTTTTGACTCAAGAGTTAAATTCTATTATTTTTCATAAGGAACATAGCACAGTCATTTTGAGATTTGAAAAGGATGTATTGAAGCCAAGCTTAAGCCTGTAATCCAGCTACTTATGAGGTAGAGATCAGGTGACTGTGTTTTTCAGTCAGTCTAGTCATAAAAGTTTCCAAGACTCCATTTCAATCAATGGCTAGATGTAGTAGCATGCACCTGTTATCCCAACTACAGGAACAGCACAGTGTCTGGACACTTTGGTATGTACCTGTCATCCCCATTAACATGGGGAAACACAAGTGGGATAATTACAGCCTAGGCATAAAGCAAGTCTGTACTTCAAATTTAACATTGCCATATGCAGAAAAATAAAGGGTTTAGAGGTGTGGCTCAAGTGGTGGAGTGCCTGCTTTGTAAGCACGAGGTCCAAAAATCAAAAGATGTATTGAGAAGAAAAAGCTTTCAGCATTGGACAGATCTGGATCCTGGAGCTGAGTGTTTTCACTTCACCTAGCAAATTTCCTAATTTTCTTTCTCTCTCTCTCTCTATCCTCTTCCTTCTCTCCTCCCTCTCCCCCCTTCTCTCATAGAGTCTTACTATGTAGCTCAGGCTTGCCTTTAATTTGTGTATCTCCTCCTTCTCTTAAGTGCTGGGGATACAGGCTTGCATCACTGTACCCAGTTTACCTAATCTTTGGGGAAGGATATAATCTACCTCAGCTTGATTTGAGGAGTAATATAATTATAGCATGTAGTATAGCACTCTGAACATAGATACTTAGAAAATAATAGTTTGCTTCCTTTCCTAGCGGAATCTTCACTTACAGGGAGAATATACTGCTTTTTGTCTAGAAAGGGCTATTTGGTAGATTTCATAGATTGTGCTTTTATCTTTGAGATGATTTTACCCTACTAGAGCCTCTTGCCAGCAATCAGTGATAAGAAGGCTAAATTTCAAAGGCCAATGCCATTTCTGTCTTAATTAAAAAAAAATTTTTTTTTTAAAACATGGTTCCCTTCAGGCTATGACATGTGACAAAACAGCAATTTGAGACTTTAGTATGCTGCCATTCTGCACAATGACCAAACCTTCTGCTGTCGAGAAGCATGTCTGATATTGGGGATAACTAATCAGCCTTTTGCTTTGACAGTTACAAAGATTTCTAGTGCTTCCCTAAAGTACTTGATCATCATGGTCTGTAGAATGAAGTAATTACTGTGTTTAGCAATTTTAGTAACATCAGCTTTGGGGTTTTTGTTGTTTTGCAGTGGTGGTTGATGATTACATAATTACAGCAGTGGAAATTTCAGTTGATAGAAAGCTGACCTAAATGTTTTTGCCTCAAATGATGCTGTGTTGACTAGTTCCAGTCAACATTTTATATAAGATTATTTGAATTAAGTAATAGGTGTAATGCCAGGAAATTAGGAAAATCTTTTTGGGTAGTGTACCAACTATATAATAGGTTTCAGACTAAAAACATTGCATATTACCATGATTTTATCTCATTTGATGTTCATGATAACCCTAAAACAAGTAGTTTTGTGCTCATTTTATATATGAGTAAATTGAGGCACAGAAAGGTAAAATAACTTGACCAAGGTCACACAGCAAGAAATGGCAGAGCAGGAGCCTAACCCAGCCTCATGTTCTTTCAGACCACAGATAATCTTTTGGAGAACCAAAGACAACTTTTATTTTTCTTGTCTAGAATTATGATACAAGTTTGCATTTGAAGGATTCAAAATATAAGGGAGGAAAAACACAATTTGGAGTCTTTGTGTGTTTTTCAATCACATTTGGCTAAATATAGCCTTATGGGCTCCTTGGGCAAGTGTTTAGTACTCCTTGAAATTGGTACTTAAAAACAGGACCCCAGTGAGCAGTGTGAGTGCACAGAGCAAAGGTGTGTTGTTAGGAGTACTTGCATCTGTCCCATTTAGAAAAGCTTTTACCATGGAAATGCAGGATCAACAGCCATATACATTTTTACTATGTGAACATGCCAGCAACATGTGACAGACATGTTTGTTGAATATATTTATTTATTTATTTTTGTCAGTCCTGGAACTTAAACTCTGGGCCTGGGAGCAATCCCTGAGCCATTCAGCTCAAGGTGAGCACTCTACCACTTGAGCCACAGTGCTACTTCCTGTTTTCTGGTGGTTAATTTGAGATAAGAGTCTCATGGACTTTTCCTGCTTGGGCTGGCTTTGTACTGTGATCCTCAGATCTCAGCTTCCTGAGTAGCTAGGATTATAGGCGAGAGCTACCAGTGCCTGGATAATATTTTAAATTTATTGGAGCTCTTTCACATCAATTTTTTTTTTTTTTTGTCAATTCTGGGCCTTGAACTCTAGGCCTGGGCACTGTCCCTAAGCTCCTTTTGCTTAAGGCTAGCACTCTACCACTTGCGCTATAGTACTACTTCCAGATTTTTCTGTGATAAATTGGAGTTGAGTCTCACAGACTTTCCTGCCCAGGTTGGCTTGAAACCAAGATCCTCAGAATCTCCTGAGTAGCTAGGATTGTAGCCACTGGCATCCTGCAACTTATTTATTTATTTGTTTGTTTGTTTTTTATTTTTTGGATCCGGTCGTGGGGCCTGAACTCTGGGCATGGGCTCTGTCTCTCAGCTCTTCAGCTCAAGGCTAGCGCTCTACTACTCGAGCCACAGCATCACTTTTGGCTTTTTTCTTTATTCTTATGTGGTGCTGAGGAATTGAACCCAAGGCCTCATGCATGCAAGGCAAGCGCTCTACCACTGAGCCACCTTCCCAGCCCAAAACTTTTTTATTTTTAAGTTTTATTTTTATAACATTTTTCTTTAAAGGTACAATATTTTAATTAAAAATTGAATAAGGGATATTAAGAGTGTCATAAGAAATTAGAACTATTTAAAAGGCATTTTTTATTTGTAATCAGAGAGCCCCAGGTTGAAATGAGGCGGCTTTATTTATTTATTTATTTAGTATCTAAAGCCTCACACTTGCTGGGCTTCATTTGCTGGAACTCTATTACTTGAACATTGTTTCTCTAGCTTTACTTTTTTGCTTGTTAACTGGAGATGAGGTCTTGCAGACTTTTCTGCTTTGATCTTTGAGTCTCAGCCTTCTGAGAATTTAGGATTATGGACATGAGTCACTGACACCTACCTGAGAAAGCCCTTTTTTCTTTCTTTCTTTCTTTTTTTTTTAATTTAAGGTCTGAGATCAGGACTAAATCTTGGTAGCTGAGACTTTTGCTCATAGGCTAGTGCTCTACCAAGTGAACCACTCCTCCAATGCCACCTTTTTTTTTTTTTCTGGTATTTAGGCTTACATTCAGTGCCTCATGCTCTCACTTGGCTTTTTCAGTTAAGGCTGGCTCTCTACTACTTGAGCCACTCTTCTACTTTTGGCTTTTTTGCTCATTAATTAGAGAGTCTCTTAGAAATGTTTGCTCAAATTGGTTTCAAGACCTGATCCTTAGATCTAAGCTTCCTGAGTAGCTAGGATTACAGGCATGAGCTGCCAGTACCTGACTGAGAACTCTCAGCTTTATAATCTATCATATTGATAAAAAATTAAAGCAAAAAATGTCTAAGGGCTTGGGATATAGTTTAGTGGCAAAACATTTATGCAGTGTTCTAGGTTCAGTTTTCAACATTATAAAAATTAAAAACATCTAGTGCTGCTAAAGGGTGATGTGATTGCCTTCATATGGTTTTGGGAAATTAAAATAGAGAACTCTTTGGAATAGCTATCACAAGACCTAATGAAGTTCATATCCTTTGACTTAATTCCCTTTAATTCTCTTTTACAAGTTTAAGGATGCATTTATATACTGTGAATTAAAGTACTCATTCTATGCTGACAAAGTATTGCTGTAACCTGTCCTACAATACAGTGGTAAATTTTTTGTATAGTTATATGGCAGAATATTATCCCACCCCAACATTCATATTTTAGAATAATAAATACATGGGGGAAGGAAATGTTAAATGATAAAAGCAAGGTACACAATTCTATATTTGCTATAGTATCAGTTCTGTGCAGTGAAAACAAGGTTATATAATAGAAAACAATCTGAAGTAAGATATAAATACACACACACACACACACACACACACACAAACACACACACACACACACAAACACACATATGCTGGTACTAGGGCTTCAACTCCGGATCTAGGCCCTATCCCTGAGTTTTTTTACTCAAGGCTAGCACTTTACCATTTGAGCCACAGTTCCACTTCTTACTTTTTGGTGGTTAATTGGAGATAAGAGTCTCACAGACTTTTCTACCTGTGCTGGCTTCAAACCACAGTTTTAGAGCTCAGCTTCCTG